AGAGAGATCTTTGGAAGCTAGGGGGTGGTCTTGGATGGCCTCTTCGGGTCATCCCCGGGGCCTGTGGGGGGCGAGGGAGGAGGAAGAGGAGGAGGGAGGAGGAGGAGGAGGAGGAGGAGGAGGAGGAAGAGGAGGAGGAGGAGGAGCAGGAAAAAGACGCAAACCGCCTCTTGGGGCCTTCTCGGGGTGCCCTTGGGGCACTCTTGGGCGCTCTTGGGGCCGTCTTGGGGAAGTACTGGGGCCCTCTTGGGAGCCCTGGAGGTGTCGGTCGCACCTGCACAGCCTCCCTCCGACGGTAATCGCCAGCAGGCTGGCTCCGCCGCTGCACGCCTCCGCGGCCCTCCCTGGGCCATTTGCCTGGGTAGCAGCCCCTCCTGGTCGCTCTTAGCCCGGCCAGCCCCCCGCTGCCATTCTTTGGCAGCGGGCTCACTGTTCTTTTTATTTTCCGCAGCCAGGACGCAGGCTTCCTGCTGCTGTGCACCCGGCGCGGAGCCCTGTAGGGCCTCTTGAGGCCATCTTGCAGGCTATCGATCAAAGCAGGGGGGGTCCTCGATGTTCCTTCCCCCCCTGGGGCCATCAAAACAGCCTCTCGAGGCGCTCTTGGGGCGCTCTTTGGCACTCTTGGGGCCGTCTGGGCGGCCTCTTGGGCCCCTCTAGGGCCTCTCTTGGGCCATCTTGAGACGCGAAATGGCGAGAAGGCACAAATCAATGATCTTGGAAGCATGTCGGAAGCTATCTTGAACCATCATCAGCTATCTTGAGCCATCTTGGAGGCCATTTTGGAGCATCGGGTGCCCTCTTGGAGCCATCTTGGTCGAAAAAGGAGCCCCTGACACCGCGAACCCCCCCAAACAACCTCACGGAGGGGAGGGCAGGGTACCCCTCCCCGAAGAAAAGGGGGAGTTGGAAGAGGAAAGAAAGAATTCGTTTGACCGCCGTGGCCCAAAGAGCTGGTGGGATTGATAATGACAAACGGTTCTCTTTGAAACCACGTTTGCAAATTCCATTGTCTTTTCCCGAACAGTGCTTGCACTGAGGTGTCCTTGTTGTCGCCGCAGGGAGCTTGTTAGCAGCTGGGTCTGCTGGGTTTTTGGCCGGTGGCCGCTTGTGTGTGTATGATTATGTCTGTGCAGTTGTGTGTGTGTGTATTTCTGTGTAGTGTGTAGTGTGTAGTGTGTGTTTATGTGTGTGTGTGTTTGTGTGTGTGCTTCGCGGACGCTCCCTGCGCTGGCTGGGTTTGCCCTGCTGCCGGCCAGTTGCCGCCCGCCGGCACCTCGGGGACGCTCCGTGCGCTGGCTGGGTCTGCTGGGCTCTCCACCGGCGGCCGCCCGTGGGCGCCCCCGTGCCGGCGGCTCCGGGACGGTCAGCCGCGCGCAGGTGGGGGGGGGGGTGGAGAGAGGGGGGGGGGAGGGCTCCTCGGAAGCCCCCTTGCTCCTCAGAAGGCGCGGGCCTTGTCTATAGGTGGAAGGCCGGCGCCTTCTAAGAGGCAGCCTCCTTCCAAGAAGCTCCCCCCCCTCGTTCCACCCCCTTGTGCGCGCCGCCGAGATGGGGTCCTGAGGGATGTGGTCCGAAGGACTCGGGCCTCAAGAGACGGGGGTCAACGCAAAGGGGGGTCAGCCAGGGCACCGCATCCTGCAGGATCCTGCGACGACTCCCTCTGGCTGACCCGGGTTAGCGAGCCGCTCGTGGCCGCGAGGCGGCCGCGCATATTGGCTGACCCCGGTTTGCGAAGCCCCTCGTTGCAGGTGTTTTTCCCTGCGTTTCAGTTTTTTGGTTTCCTGCGGACCCAGGTCTGATTGACACGGGTTAGCAGATCCCCGAAGGACGAGGTGCTTCAAACCATGTAAATCCACGCTTGAACCCCTCCCTATTCTTCGGACCCGTCTCTCGGGACCCCATCTTTGAGCCACCGACCGTGCGCCCCTTGCATTGGCTGGCACGGCGCCGGGTCCTCGGCTGGTGCCCGCCCGTGCACGCCCCGTGGTGGTCTCGTGCGCTGGCTCCCAGGGGGCACCACACAGAATGCACCATGTAGTTTGCAGCCTGAGCATCATTCTCGACGACACGTGAGAGTGACCTTTCGCCAGAGGGACCTTTGGTGCGGGTCCATTGGGGCACGCGATGCGATAGCAGCGTCCTGCGCGCTCGGGTGGGTCCCCCCACGTCCCCCCGCGGCCCCTGGAAGGCCGCGCACCAAAGGTCACTCTTTTACCCAGGGTTGCTCTTGCGTGTAGCCGAAATTCAACACATACGGATTGCGGCGCCTGGCCTGCGCCGCAGTGCGTAGATCGCACCTCAGAGATTGACCCAGCTATTGCGAAGGCCTTGCGGCCGGTGCCGCCGACCCTAAAGGGGGGCGACGACGGCGACGACGACGACGACGACGGCGGCGACGTCCACGGCGACGGCGACGCTAACGCTCTCGAGACCTGCCGGGAGGGGGGGGGGCTTGACTAGCCTTTGTCCACAGGGGGGAACGCCCCTCAGGTTCCCCCGGGGGGGCGGTATTCTGACCCGGGACCACCCCTCCACCCCTCCCACCCCCCGGCAGGGAAGGGATCAAAGAGAAGGGATCTCTTTTCGACCTCACTGCGACGTGTCTCAGTTTCCTTGTGGTTTCTTTGCGGCTGGCGGTTGCAGACGACGACGACGACGACGACGACGACGACGACGACGACGACGACGACAGCGTCTTCCACGCCGAAGGGTCGGCGGATATTGCACGCCATTTGTTGCAACACATGTTGCACCGCATATATTGCACCACACTAGCGCGTCACATACATAGCATCGTATGCGTTGCAGCATGTGTATTGTAACACAGAGGGTGGACCATACACACATTACACCAGAAATGCTGTACATCGAGTCTACTGTTTTGCGTCCACTCTGGCAAGCATGTTTTTCTAGTATGGGACTTCTACACATGTCCTGCGTTTTGCTGACAGATCGTGCGAGAGCCCCAGTGCCCGATATTGTTTTGGTATTTGGGTGGCCACATGACAACCTCTTGACACTGGCAATGCGCTTATCTTTGGTGAAATCGTAAGCGCAAATCTGATGTGTCTGTACGCTTAAGTCGGGCCTGTCCCTCTACAGGAGGGATTTTCAAAAATAGTCCAAAAATAGTACGGGGAGTATTTTTTGCATATTTTTGGATTCTGTTTGAATGTTTTTGGCGTATTTTTATGTTTCGTCCAAAATCCCCCTGTAGGAGGACATGCCCGACCCAAAGTTGGTCCAATGTGTTTCGGAATTCTTCGTTTTGGTGGCATCGCCATGCGAGAGCCCCAGGTCAGGCGTTGGTCAGCTTACCCTGGTGCTGCTACGCAGCCATCGCTTGTCAGCGGCGAGAGATGACTGAAGCGTTATGGCTCGATACCGCTCAACGCGTAATGCTGCGAACCTTCACGTTCCCGTTGCTCGTTGTCAAGCTCAGCACGACTCATGGAGTATCTTGCCCTCGTGGGTGGGTTGGGGGGGGAGCACGGCCCATCCCCAGCCAGCCACCACGCTCGAGCTCCAACCCCTTGCGTGACGAAGTTCCTTCTCCTTCTCCTTCTCCTCCTCCTCCTCCTCCTCCTCCTCCTCCTCCGCGAGCACTGGGCCCGCACCGAGAACCGCAGCGGGGTCGGCACGCCACACTTTGGCCTCCAACACCGATGCCGCGGAAGAGGGAGGAGGGAGTATGAGGCAGGAGGAGGGAGGAGGGAGGAGGAGGAAGGAGGAGGAGGAGGAGGAGGCTGCAGGATAGGCTGCAGGAGAGCGAACGGGGCGGCAGCGGCGGCGGCGCCTCCCTGCTGCGCGCGCGCCTTTGCGCCTCGCCGCCGCTCCGGCTCAGGGCGCGGCCGTCCCTTTCATCCCCCCCACCTCGCCCGAGGCTCCCCCCCCCAAGGCTCGTGGCAGCCAGAACCGCGGCCGTGGTTCGCATTCGGGAGGAGGAGGAGGAGAAGGAGGAGGAGGAGGAGGAGGACCAGTGTAAAACCAAGAGCCATCAACGATGTAGGACCCTCCCTCCAAGCTCCCTCTTCACAGGTTCCTGCAACGGTTCATGTCCACTGCGGGAACTGTCTCGTTGGAAGACAGCCGTTTGAAGATCCTTAAGCATGCCGAAACAATGTTCTCGGAATTTCAACGCCACGTATCATCCTGACTGCTGCGCTTTGACGATCTGGAATCGTACCATAACGCCATTTTTGGCGTTCAGGCTAAATCCACTTTTTGGAAACGACCCGCCTTCAATCCGTGAAGCTCTTGCAAATGTTGTAGACGAATGTGCGCGGCGCCAAAGGCGAGAGCCACATTTTGAAAACCACCCGCCTTCAATCCGTGAAGCTCTTGCAAATTTTGAAAACGACTGTGCGCGGCGCTAAAGCGAAATCCATATTTTGAATACCACCCGCCTTCAATCCGTGAAATTCTTGCAAATGTTAAAAAGAAATGCGCGCGGCACTAAAGCGAGAGCTACATTTTGAAAATCACCTACCTTCAATCCGCGAAGTTCTTGCAAATGTGAAGCGGATGTGCACGGCGCTAAGGCGAGAGCCACATTTTGAAAACGACCCGCTCTCCATCTTTGAAACTGGTGTCACTTTTCAAGCTTCAGAGTCATAAGCGGTGATGAAGTCTCAGGCGAAACGCCCGGCCCGCCCTAAAACTGGCCTCGGGGTGCGTCAGGGCGAAATGTTAACGAAAAAAGAATAGAAGAGGAGGAAGCTGGGGGAAGAGGAGCCTGGGGGAGGAGGATTGAAGAGGAACCTGGGGAGGAGGGGGAAGAAGATGAAGGAATCATGAGGGTGAGGAAGAAGAGACGGTGCAGAGATTCGAGGGGTTTCGAGCGAGGATAATGAAATGTTGCATGCATGCACGTTTGTATGTTTGGCTGAAGCCATTTTGTGATCAAGATCGCCCAGGCCTGAGGTGAAAAGGATTCGACCTCCACCTCGCATAAAGCTCAACATGGTAGCGTGAGCGTGACCAGTCGCAGCCAGAGCTGCGCGATGGAGGCAGCTTTGCAGGAACTGCAGCGGATTGTTGGCGAACAGGCGGCCCAGATCCAGAGGCTGACCGAGGGCGCCCAGAGACCTGAAGCTCAAGCCGAGGACAGACGGCTCGAGAGCATAGTTGACACGAAGATCCTGAGCAGGATTGGAGTCTTCTCAGGCGCGGACGAGGAATGGAGGCAGTGGTGTTTCGTGTTCGAGTCGACGGCAGGGCTCGTCGACCTGGAGCAGATCATGACGCACTGCGAGAACACGGACGAGACCGAGCTAGGCTGGGCAACTCAGTCGGAGAGAGTCCAACTGAGGATGAAGGTGCTGTATCACTTGCTGATCGCTGCGACGAGAGGCAAGGCCCTCACGATCCTCCAGATGGTGCCGAAGAACAACGGTGCCATAGGTTGGAAGAGGTTGAAGGACGAGTACGAGCCGAAGTCTGGCGGAAGACTGACGGCGATGCTCATGGGAGTGCTCAAGCCAGAGTGGGAGACGGCCATCAGGGGCGGCATCCGCACGTGGGAGGCTGCCTGGAAGGAGTGGGAGAAGAGCGTCTCGCTCTACGAAGCACAGTCCTTGGAGAAGGTCACGGAAGGCACGAGGATCGCCGTCGTGGTCAGATGGGCTCCAGAGGACGTGAAGGCCGTGGTTCGTCAAGCTCTTGGGGGCGATCGGCCAGGACTACCACAAGCTGGCCAAGGTTGTCACGGACTACATTGCTAGTGGCAAGGTCTACGAGACCACTGGAGCGCCCCACGGCATCCAGTATGACGGACCCATGCCCATGGACGTCGGGCTGGTGAATGAGAGTGGAGACGTGGGCGGCGTCTTCAAACCTCCGAAGGGGTACGGCAAGCAGGCGAGGAAGGACGCCGGCAAGGGTCGGGACTCGGATCGCGACACCTGCAAGAACTGTAGCAAACGAGGCCATTGGTCAAGGGGCTGCTGGGCCCCAGGAGGTGGAGCAGCCAACCAGATGAAAGGCAAGGGTAAGGATACGAAAGGCGGCAAAGGAGGCAAAGAGAGGAAGAAGTGCGACAAATGCGGGAAGCCAGGCCACGAGGCCAAGGATTGCAGGTCACACATCAAGTGCGACAAGTGCGGGAAGCTGGGCCACAAAGCTTCAGACTGCAGGTCGAAGCCCGAGAGTGCTGAGGTCAAGAGGATAGTCAACGAGCAGGACGAGCTGTGGGTCATGGGCGTCGCCGAGAGCGTGAACACCATCGACGACGGCAGCAAGTACGTGTGGGTCTCGATCGACAGCGGGTCGGACGCCGATGGGTGTCCCCTCGGCTTCGGTCACTCGAGCGATGACGTCGAGGATCCCACTAAGGTGGAGCTGAGGACGGCCACCAACGACGAGATCCAGGACTACGGTGAGCGGAATGTCGGCATCGCGTTCCTGGACGAGACTGGCCACGAGGTGATGGCCACGAACCGATTCCGCATCGGTGACTTCAGCAAGCCTGTGCTCAGCTGTGGCATCAGAGTCACGAGAGGAGCAGTCATTCATCTGGAGACGGGGAACAGCTACATGGCCCCGCCGAGCGTGAACGGCGTTCAGAGGAAGATATCCTTGACAATGATCGGGAAGAGCTTCTACGCAAGGTGTCGGGTGCTGGAGGCGGGTGCTCACAGGCATCGAGTGGCACCTGTGATCGACCAAGCGGCTCAAGAGCAAGAGCCAGCGCCAGCACCACCACCAGAACCTCAAGCCGCACCTGCACCACCAGAACCTCAAGCTGCACCTGCACCACCACAGGCAGGACATCCACGAGAGATCCCGGGCTCCCAGTCGTCAGTCGAGGCGTTGAGGGCACGCCTGAAGGAGCTCAGGAGGCTTGGGATCATTGATGCGGCCATCTACGGCACCAAGAAGCAGCTGCGGGAGAGGCTCGTCAAGTGCGAGCACCAGCTGGATGAGAAGATGAAGGTCAAGGAGGCCCTCGAGGAGCGCCAACGGCGACTCCAGGAAGGCGTCGATCCCGAGGTACCGAGGACGCTGAAGACTCCAGAGAGGCCAGACGCGGAGACCGTGAGGCAGCACGAGCTTACTCACGCGAAGTTCGAGCCCTGGCGCCTGGAGTGCGTGTTCGGAAAAGGAGATGCCGCACCCCATCGGGGAGTTCAGTTTCTTACGGACAAGGAGCCAGAGGTGTCTGTCGTGCAGATCGACTACCATTTCTTGAAGGACGACGGCGAAGAGACCGAGGATGCGGCCAACCGCTTCTCCACCACGCTGGCCGTCATCGACTGCGACACGGGTGTTCCTCTGCAGCTCGGCCTCCCAGAAAAGGGAGGCAACCGCGACTACACGGTGGCCTCGGTCGTGAGCTTCCTCAGGAGGCTAGGCGCCGCTCAGCTCAGGCTCAGGAGTGACGGAGAGCCGAGCGTCGTCGGCATAGCGAACGCAGTGGCGGCCAAGAGACTCAAGTTCGACGGCTACAAGGTCACAGTGGAGCAGACCCCCAGGTACTCGTCGCAGTCGCTCGGGGCCGCGGGGGTGCAGCAGAAGATCTTGCAGGGGCAGGCCAGAACGATCAGAGCTGCAACAGAGAAGATGCTTGGTATCAAGATAGGGCCAGGTCATGTTCTGTGGCCGTGGCTTGTCAGACACGTAGGCTTCATCGCGGAGATGTTCCACATAAAGTCAAATGGACGGACTCCTCATCAAGATGCGACTGGCACCAAGTATCATGGCGTCGTCCTGAAGTTCGCAGAGACCGCCATGTTCAAGCATCCGACGTCGTCGAGTGGCCACATGACTGGAGGCAGGCGCAGTCGCAAGTCCAAGTCGATGTGGGAGAAGGGCATCTTCTTGGGCAAGACCTACGAGAGCGATGAGTTCCTCATGGGGACCAGCAGCGGGGTGCACTCGGTCAGGGCCGTGCGCAGGCTCCCAGAGGAGGGCCAATGCGACCTCGAGCTCGTGGCCAAGATGGTTGGGGCCCCAGGCGTCGGCCAGATCGGAAGGCCGAAAGGCAAGAGGGTGGTCATTCTCCCGACTGCCCCGCCTGAGAAGAAGCAGGAGGAGACCGAGGTCGACGACGCCAAGGAGGAGAAGGGGGTTACAGACCCCACGGTGGAGAGGGGAGTTGCCGAGGACGGCAACAGCTACGCGAGTGCCAGAGGCAGGACGGGCAGTGGCTACATGGAGGACGTGGCGCTCCCCACACCGAGGCACGAGGCAGGCGGAAGCTCGTCATCACGCCCTGCCCAACCGACTGGGGAGCCAGAGGTCCCAGAGGTTGAGATGGGCACCGTCGGAGGCGTCGACGGCTTCGTGATCGACGAGATCGACCTGATGCCCGTCATGGACCCAGATGGACATCGACTGACATGAGGGAGAGTACGACGTAGATTTCATCAAGGCAGGCAAGTGCAAGGATATCAACGCGATGCAGGAGTTTGGAGTGTTCGAGGCTGTGTCGCCTGATGAGATAGATTCCACATGGACAAGGTTGTCAACCAAGTGGGTGTACCAGGAGAAGAGCGATGAGATTCGCTGTCGCTTCGTTACCAGGGAGTTCAAGAGCATGGACCCCGAACGCGAGGGGCTGTTCACGCCGGCCAGCGAACCCGCGACTGGCAGGCTCATGGACTTCAAGGCGGTGAATCGGGACCAGCCCACCGTCATCATCGACGCTGTCAATGCCTACTTCCATGCTGAACAAGACAGGCTCGTGGCAGTGGTGCCGCCTCGGGAGTGGGTCGAGGCCGAGGCAATCAAGGGCAACACCACGAGGACGATGTGGAGGATGAAGAAGAAACTCTATGGCGAGAGGGATGCGAGCAGGGGTTTCAGTGACTTCATGAACCGCATCCTCGTCTCAGAGATGGAGTTTGAGCAGTGTCCTGACCAGCCATGCTTCTACCGCCGAGAGCGGGATTCAGTAGACCTGGAGCTTCATCAGGATGATATCTATGCGACCGCTGACGACATCAAGCTCCAGGCATTCACGACAGAGCTCAGCAGCAAGGTAAGCAAATTGCTCAAGGTAGGTGCGAAGTACCAACATCTGAAAGGAGGGCGAGTGAGAGTCGAGGGCGGCATGTTCCAGACGGGCAACAGGAAGTACGCGGACAAGATCATAGAACTACTGAACCTCGGCAAGGCAAAGAGCTCGCCCACACCCATTGTGACGAAGCTACTGCAAGAGGACTTCGAGCACCCTTCTGAACGCCGAGGAGACCAGTCTCTACAGGCAGTGCGTGGGCATCGCGAGGTACATGGTCAACTACGTCACGGAGGTCACGTTCGCTGTCCACGTGCTGAGCAAGAGGTTGGCCACGCCCACCGACAACGACATGAAGAGGCTCAAGCACCTCGGCAGGTACCTACTCGGAGTTCGAGACTATGCACTGTTCTTTCCCAGAGCTGGAGAGGCAGATATTTTGGAGTGCTACACGGACTCAGATTGGGCTGGAGACACCATCGACAGAAAGAGCGTTTCTTGCGGAGTGTTGTGCTGCGGTGGCTGCACGCTTCTCGAGTACTCGCGCGGTCAGAGTACCCAAGCGCTGAGCTCAGGAGAAGCAGAGTACTACGCGTCTGCGACAGCAGCTGCCGAGGCGATCCACCTCCAGAGCGCGATGGGTTTCCTGGACATGAACGTGAAGATCAGGATCCGCATAGACTCCTCCGCGGGACAGGCGGTCTGCCACCGCGTTGGAGTAGGGGGGGTCCGCCACCTTGAGGTCCGCACCCTGTGGCTCCAGGCCAAGGTGCGAGACAAGAAGCTGGCGGTGGTCAAGCAGGCTGGGGAGACCAACCTGGCTGACGTGGGTACCAAGGCGCTGACGAGTCAGAGGTTCCACTGGCTGAGGGCACAGTTGGAACGTCGGCCGCTGGCAGGCGCAGATGACATGGAGGAGAGCACGGCTGTTCGGGTCAACCTCGTGAGCGACTCGACATCCAAGATGGCGAGGGTCGGCGCGGCCCTGATCGCTCTCCTGGACAGCCTGGGCTCGGTGAAGGCAGACGGTGAGTGCGACGTCTACGGCTACGAGAAGGACAAGACGGAGATCATCCTGCAGGACGCCCGTCTAGGGACTGGCGTGCACCTCCAGGGTATGATGCTCATCGTGGTCATGATCACCATGATGATCGTGGCGTGCGCAGTCGGTGGCTGTGCTGGCTGGTGCGTCAGCTACTTCATGAGGCCGAGCCGCGCGGGCGAGAGCAGGCAGGAGAAGAAGAAGGTAGAGCTCTCCCAGAGGGCCATCAAGACCAAGAAGGTGAAGATCGAGTACAGGACCGTCTCGACCCAGAGCCAGGTGACGTACTCCTGGCATCGGGAGAGTCCTAGGTTTGTCCCACTGGGAGAGAGAGAGAGAGCTCAGGGTGCCTGGGCTGAGTGAGATGAGTGGTTTGATGCGGTATCCCGCTGGGGAGTCGAGAGGACCGCCAGCGGAAGGGCTTGAGCGACACCGCAGCAGCGTGTTTTGCCTGCGGCTCGCGAGATCAGGTTTTCCTTGACTTTGAGTGCTGTTTCCTCGTTGAGCGGTCTGATCAGCCGCCTCGTAGAGCCTCCGACATCGCCCTCAGGGGGCGTGCAGAGATTCGAGGGGTTTCGAGCGAGGATAATGAAGTGTTGCATGCATGCACGTTTGTATGTTTGGCTGAAGCCATTTTGTGATCAAGATCGCCCAGGCCTGAGGTGAAAAGGATTCGACCTCCACCTCGCATACAGCTCAACAGAAGGAGAAAGAGGATTGAGTATCGCGGTGCTTCATACTTGTTTCCGTTTTTTGCAGGGGCCCGCAGGCCCGGGAGGGGCCAGGACGAGGATAAATCCGTTCCAAAGCGTTCCAGGTCGCACTCAGACCGTTCCAGACTGCTCTAAGAAGGCCGCGGCGCCCGGTAAAGCATCCCGCAGAGCCGCTGGGTCTCAGAGATGTCCGATGCACCCGTCCAGATTTATATGCTCGTCGTGGCTTCGACTTATGGGATGCGCCGCCACTCCTCTCGCTGCCTCTCTTCGGACCTCCCCCGAACTCGCTGCTCCGCCGGCTGGGACATGTGGGCGACCATCGGCGAGGCACAAGTTGGCCTGAAGAGAAACTGCATCAACATCAACGCTCGACGCTCCGCGCGGATGTCTTGGGTCTGCGCTGGCCCCCCCCCTGGCAGCGCGCTCTGCGTGCCAGGGAGGGGGGTCCCAGCGAACGTGTATGTTCATACCGTTTTCCCTTCCTCCATGGCCTTCCTCCCCCTGGTTCCCTCGGGGAGGGGCCCAGGGGCCCCCGTGGTTGTCATCCTGGAGGCCATGGACCAGGCAGGGGGGGAGCCCCGCCAGACCCCCCCCCCCGCAGAAGCGCCTCCCCGGGGCTCTCTGCTTGGGTGGTGCCCCCCCGGGGGCCGCAGGCCTCCGACGTGCCACAGTTTTTTTCCCTGGCGCGGGCCCTTCGGCAGCTCTCGACCCCAACCCGATTGGGCGCGAATGAAAGGGGGGGGCGATCAGTGGGATGGGGGGGGGGGGGAGAGTGCCCTTTTCTGGCCCTGAAGGCACCCCCTTGGGCCCCAGAGGCTCCATTTCGGGGCCCTGCAGGAAAACCTTTTTCTGCAGCCGTCGCTACCCCCCCCCACACACACTTGTCGCCCCTCATTATAGTTCGCGCCCAGAGTTGGAACACGAGGGTGAAGAGCAGCCCTGGCTTCGGAGGGGTACCCTGATGTTTTTCGTGTCTGGGCTCCCTGCCTTGAAGCGACCTTCGCTCGGCGCATCTCCCTGGGACCTTGGGCTCGTGCTGTTGACGAACAGGGCTCTCGGCAAGGGGGCTCTCGGCAAAGGGGGCTCTCGGCAAAGGGGGCTCACGGCAAAGGGGCTCTCGGCTAAGGGGCTCTCGGCAAAGGGGCTCTCGGTCCTGACCGTGCCCGGGCTCTCGGTCTCGGCAAAAGGGCTCGTGCGTGCTCTTGACGGACGTTCTCGAGCCCATGGTTCGACTGCGCGGCCCTGGGGGCCAGCAACGGCCTCTCGTCTGTGTAATTGTTGTCCGTCTCGACTTCCCCCGGCGCCGGGTGTTGGCTTTCAAGGTTCCGTGGGAGGAGGAGGAGGAGGAGGAGGAGGAGGAGGAGGAGGAGGAGGGAGAAGAGGCCTCCTGGAAGCCTCTTGAGGCACTCTCGGGACCTCCTGTGAGCTTCCCAGGGGGCTTCTGGGAGGCCTCTTGGGGGGCTTCACTGGGCCTCTCGTCGCCGCGCCGTTTGCCCGGCGGGCTTGCCGTGGGGCGTGGCCGCGGTGCCGGCCTCGTCCATACCCGGGGGGCGCGGGCGCGCAGGGTCTTCGGAGCCCCGGATCACCAGGGGGAGCTCGGGTCAGGGCTATCTCGGGCTCGTTGTTCGGGATCCCGAGCCCGAGCTACCCCGGGCCCGAGCTGCCCCGCATGATTCGGGCGTCCAGAGCCCCGAATCATCAGGGGTACTTCGGTCAGGGCTAACTCGGGCTCGCTGTTCGGGATCCCGAGCCCGAGCTACCCCGGGCCCGAGCTGCCCAGGATAATTCGGGCGTCCAGAGCCCCGAGTCATCAGGGGTACTTCGGTCAGGACTAACTCGGGTTCGCTGTTAGGGAATCCGAACCCGAGTTACCCCGGGCCCGAGTTGCCCCGGATAGCTTGGGCGCCCAAGGGTTTGCCGTGGCTTTGCCGCGGCGTCGGCATCGTCCATTCTGGGCGCGTCGAGTGATGGGCTTGTTTTCCACCACCCCGACCATAAGTTGGAGGGGGAAAGAGGAGGTGGAAGATGATGATGATGAGGAGGAGGAGGCGAGGTAACATGAGGAGGAGAGGAGGAGGAGGAGGAGGAGGAGGAGGAGGAAGAGGAGGGAGATGAGGAGGAGGAGGAGGATGAGGATGAGGGGAGGAAGAAGTGGAGGATGAGGAGGAGGACGAGGAGGAGGAGGACCCGCTACTCCTCCTGCTTCTGGTGGTGGCGACAACAAGCCCACAATCGAGAACATGCGGCGCGGCGACAGATGTTCTTGGAGGCATCTAGGGCACACTGGAGTCGAGGGGCGAGGGCAGGCAGGGGCGCGTCCGACGGCAGCCTCGTGTCAGGTTTTGCAGCCATCTGGTGTACTGCTGTAGGGCACGTCCCTCTACAGGAGGAGTATTCAAACATAACAAACAAATAGTATGGGGACGATTGTGCGATCAATTTTACATGTTTTATGAGATATAAGATAGTACTACTAATAATAATGCGAATGATAGTGATAACAATAATAATAATAATAATAAGATTGTTCCAACATCCGCCTGTAGGAGGACATGCCCGACCTAATTGTACTGGTCTTCGGCCCTGGTCTTCCTGGGTGGTGCCCAGTGGCTGCATTCAGCGAAGCTCGGCGGCGAGCCTTTGGGTGGGGAGGTGACAGTGGGCGGGCCTTTTCGGAGGGCTCGGAAGTCACAGGGCATTATGAGAAGAGTTGTAAGTCTTTCCCGGAGGCACAGCAAGCTTCTCAGAAGGCCGGAGGGCTTCTGAGAAGCCCCCCCGCCGCCTTCCGGCCCCCTCCCCCGCTCGCCGCCGAGAAGTAGTCTGGCGCTGTCCCACTTGATACATGACCTCGTGCGCACGATCTGGCCTCAGAGCTCCTCTGTGCCGCTTGCAGTTCGAGGTCGGAAGGGGCTCGGTGGTTCCTCGGGTTTGCGTGCCTTCCGTAGTTTTTTTGTGCGACGACTCCCTCCGTTGCTCCTACGGATTCCACGGTCGCTCCTTCGGAGCTCACGTCTTCGTTCCCCATCTTGTCGTTCCCTACTTTCAGCAGCCCGACTGTACGGCAGGTTCGCATCGTGCCGACTGGCGGCGACCCCGCCGCGGGCATTCAAGCTTAAACGCCGCCCGTGGCCCCGAATCGGCCCGTCGTGGAACGATCGGGCGATCGGAAAGCCGCCGATCGTTCTTCAAGGTTGAACGATCCACGCGGTGTCATAAACCAACGCCGGGGTCGACACGACGCGAACCCGTCGAGAGCCTTGAGACGGGGGTCAATGCAAACGGCGGTCAGCCAGAGCGCCCGATCTTGCAGGATCATGCAGGGCCAGGGTCGCATTGACCCGTGTTTGGGTGCAGGATCCTGCAGGATCAAGCAGGATCCTTCGCATTGGCCCGGGTTTGGGTGCAGCATCCTGTAGGATCTTGCAGGATTTTGCAAGGCCTGACTGACCCGGGTCTGGATTGACCCGGGTCATTAGATCCCCGAACCTGCCGTGGCTCCTCCACGTGCCCGCGCAGATCTGGCGGGAGCTGCCCTGTCCTCCGTTGTTCTGGCCGCCCCGAGCGGGGCTGGTCCGATGGCCCCCGGCGGCCGGTCTTAGCGGCATGGCGGCGCGCGGCCCCTGGCCGTAGGCGGGCGCGGCCGGAAGACCGCTGCCTGCATCGTCGCGGCAGGCGGGTGCCCGTCATCCCCGCCGCTTTCCAGAGAGGGCGGAGGGGGGGGTGGTAGGCAGAAGGGGAAGGGAGAGGAGGGAGGAGGGACGCGGAGGAGGGAAGGAGGTGGAGGATGAGGAGGAGGAGGAGGAGGAGGAGGAGGAGGAAGAGGAGGAGGAAGAGGAGACGGAAGGAGGGAGGGGGAGGGGGGGGGAGAGGCGGAAGAGGAGCAGACGGAAGAGGGCAAGGAGGAGGTAGGGGTGGAATGAGGAGCGGGAGGAGGACATCTCAACCGAGAGCGTGGCAACGATGAGAGAGGAAAGTTGGAGACTGGGGGTGTAGAGAGGGAGGTTTGGATGATGATGATGATGATGATGATGATGATGATGATGATGATGATGATGATGATGATGATGGTGATGGTGATGGTGATGGCGATGGTGATGGTGATGGTGATGGTGATGGTGATGATGTTGATGATGATGTTGATGATGATGATGGTGGTGGTGATGATGATAATGTTCATGCTGTTGATGATGATGATGATGATGATGATGCTGATGATGCTGATGCTGACGATGATGATGCTGATGATACTGATGCTGATGCTGATGCTTATGATGATGCTGATGTTGATG